ACAAATGATGGAGAAAGAAATCTAATTAATAAGAATTTAATTAAATTAATAAGAATTTAATTAGATTAAGAATTGCTGTAACTTTTTTTTTTCGGCAATCTATGCGCGATTTTTGCTGCGTTTTTGCCATCAATAGCTAATTAGGTAGATCGCATTCTATATTTGCCGCGTTTTTACAGTCACGACGTGATGGCAGACTGTGCTCGATTTTTGCTGCGTTTCTGCTGTCAGTACTGGTTATGTCAGGTTGTGCTGTATTTTTACCGCGTTTCGCTGTCACGATGTGTTAGCAAATAATGATTGATTTTTGTTGTATGTTTATCATTGTATTATGTTGGCAGGCTAAGCTGTTAGAAACTAAGCTTAATGAGGAAGCAGCAGCTTGATATCTGCTGTAACGTCATGATCAAGTTTGCTGGCATACTGCTAGCATTTTGCTATCTGGGTAATTATAGTAAATGCAGGTAATTTTAAACATTAACATATTTCAAGTTGCAACGTTCTTCTATTTGCAGCTAATTCATTAAATAATGACAAGGATTTGAATTTCAATGATAATTGCTCAATAAGTAATATAAGCGATGTATTAGAACGTAATACAATAATTGAAATTGAAGATTCTGATTGTATTCCAAATTCCTTTGAGAACTGGAAATTAAAAAAGGGTGTTACAACTCCAAAGGATGTTACAACTTTAACCTCTCACAAAAAAAACAAACAGAAAAATTCCATATCCACCAATAAAGTCAACAATAGAACAATCAAGTGATTCTTCAGAAAATATTCATGTGCCTATTACATCAAGAAAATGTAAGACTAAATTCGGAAAGTTTTTTTGAAATATTTTTTTATTCATGTTGCTTTTTATTTAAAAATGTGATCGACGTTTTAATTTTGCAGTTAATCGAAACACACCGTTGAAACAATTATATTCATCAAGGGAACACTTCCAGTCCATTGCTGAGAAGCAAGCTAATGCTGAATTTGTAAATAAAAATCTTTAATTAGTAGAATGTAATTAAAAAAAGATAAGTATATAATTAATTTGTGAAATATATTCTGTTTGTAGATACATGCTGAATGTGCTAAAATTCATGCAGAAGCATGCAAAATGAATGTGGTTGCAATGACAAAAATTGCACATGCTGTACAAAAATTATCAGATACTGCTGCTGCACAGGTTGTTAACGATAGTCAACGCATACAAGTTTTCGAGAAACTCACAACAATTATGGAAAACTTATTGCCTACTTATATTCTATTATAATTTTCTTACCATTAGAATCTTATGTTTTAAAATTATAACAATCTATCTGTGATGTCATATTTATTTTTTCTTTTTGCATTTTTGTTTTTTTCTCCATAAAATGTGATTACCTCATATCGTATACTGTTTCTCGAGAGCTGTTCGGAGTCGCTCCGAATGAATCCAGCGGACTTAAAAGTATATTTTTAGACACGTAAAACATTCTTAATGTTCTTTTAGCATCTAAAAGAACACTAAAAGTGTTTTACACATCTTAAAGCGTACTTTTAAGTCAGCTGGGTTCATTCGGAGCGACTCCGAGCAGCTTCTGAGAGACAAAATGAACAATACCAATGTTGCACTCATATCAAATGAAACGACTAGGTAAAATTAAAGGAAATTAGTACCAATTCAATAATTTTGTTTCTATTTTTGCATTAAGTGCAGTATTAAGTTAATTTTTTAGTCATAAACCTAGTTGTAACATTTTTGAAATCATACAATACACGTGTGTATTGTATGACTTCATACATTAAAATACGCACTATGGATGTTAAATATGGGGCATTCCACGCGAAGTGATCCACCCAAAAAAAATTTCTTTTTCCGATCGGGCTGAAATTTGCACAATCTATTGTTCTATCAACCATGATAACTCACAGCAATTTTTACGGTGTTTGTGCAACGCGTTGTCTACTTACAGGGGCTCAAAGTTTCGGCGTTGAGAACGTTATGTCAAACTTCTCACTTCTATAATTTCTAGTGAACAGCACCGATTTTAAAAAACGACCAGTGATTCTTGAAGCATTTTTTACGTACTTTGATAATATATTATGAATGTTTAAAGAAAAACATTAATTTTTCGATATTTTGCAAAATTAACATTAAAATTCGATTTTTCTCAAAGAAAGACATCTTAGATTTTAATTTAAAAAATATGAAAAAAAAGAAGACAATTTTTCCAACAAAAAAGTTTCTTACTTCCAAGTTGGAGAAATTACTCCTTCTCGAGTTATAAGGCATTTTGTGTCTGAACTCGTACTCCGAGCCTCCGCAGCACGCATCGCCATCGCCAGCCGAGAGTCGCGGCGTTCCATGACTCTCAACTTTCGCCCTTTTTTTGTTTCCGATTTTAAGTTTTTTAAAGATAACATTTGTTTCTCCTCTTGCATTGACTTTAAGTGTTTTAGCAGCCGGTAGATGACCGATTTTCTCGAAATTGAAGTCACTTTCAGATTCCTATAGATGCAAAACTGACCGACTCGTGGTTTTGAAACGAATGATATATTATTATATACTCGTTGCCTGTTATTCTTATATAAGTAAAGTTATAATATTCTCTTCTTATAGTCTACTTTGTCTAATTGATTAGTACTATTCATCTTTGCTTTGTGCATCCCTAGTCGGAATTTATCTGGTTTTCCTAAATTGCCGTTTCGCCTCTACCATATCTCTTTTTTTTCTAATAGTGATAGTGTATAAAAATATAGCTTCACTATGGCTACCTCTTCACCCGTTTGGGGCGATAGGTGCGTAAATCCTTTAAATAAAAAAGGTCATGGAAAAGGAAAGGGGTTAAGGTTAATTTCTGCTTCATTACGTGAAAAAATGTCTTTGAAAGTGCCATTGAATAGCAAATTATGTTATTTATGCAGGAGTGAATTGCAGAGTTTAGAAAAACCCTCGACATCGTTACAAGAAAACGCGGAAATGAACGCAATCGAGAGTGTTCATGTAGACGATGTTTCCAAGATAGATGATCTTGTTGACGATGTTTCCGAGGTAAATAATCTTGTACACGATGATTCTGATTATGATATTAAATTTGCTTCTACACCTTCAAAAGATAATGCATCGGTATGCGAAAACGCATATCATAAAGCAAGCGTTGAAGTGTTTGAGCAAATTAAAGACAAATTTCGAAATTCCACCAGCACTTCAGAGAAATTTATGCTACTCACTCTCGCCCCAAAATCATGGGGACGAAAAAAAATAGCAGCCGAATTTAACGCTTCAGAACGACAAGTTAGAAAGGCAAAAGAAATGACAGATGAACACGGTATTTTAGCTTTGCCAAATGCAAAGAAAGGAGGAAGTAAATTACCTTCTGAAACGGAAAATCTTATTAAGGCGTTTTTAAACGATGAAAATAGTCGGCTTCTACCCGGTATGAAAGATTTCGTTTCAGTAAGGAATAAGGATGGATCACGTGAACACGTTCAAAAAAGATTAATTTTAAGCAATCTGTCTGAATTGTACGAAAAATTTAGAAACGACTATCCCGATGTAAAAATTGGAATTTCTAAATTTTGTGAGCTTAGACCACGGCACTGTGTTCTTGCTGGAAGTAGTGGAACGCATACCGTTTGTGTTTGTACGCACCACGAAAACGTCAAACTCATGATAGATGCAATTAATTTACAGGCAATTACAAAAGACACTGATCTTCCTCTAAAGTCTTATAGCGATTGTCTACAAGAAATTACTTGCAAAAACCCTACTTCTTCATGTCATCTTGGGAAATGTGAATTATGTCCTGATGGAGAAAGCCTTAAAAATCATTTACTAAGTATCCTGCATGAGCGTTACATTGACAGAATTGAGTTTCAAGTGTGGCAGCATACAGACAGAAGCACCTTGAAAACTGAAATAGTTGACAATGAAGAATTTATTGAACAACTATGTAGACTATTGTTTAAGCTCAAACCTCATGATTTTATTTCAAAAATGCAGTCATCCTATGTGAATGAATTAAAAACTACCTTACTTGATAATGAATTTATCGTACAATGTGATTTTGCTGAAAATTATGCTTTCGTGATTCAAAACGCAGCGCAATCATTTCATTGGAATAATAATCAGTGTTCTATATTTACTGCAGTTATATACTATAAAGAGCAAGAAGAGTTGAAACACCGTAGTATAGCGATTTTGTCGGATAGTTTGAAACACGATACGATAGCTGTCTATGAGTGTCAAAAAATTATTGTACAGTTTTTAAAAGAAAATTTCAACCCAGTTAAAATAATTTATTTCACAGACGGTACTGCTCAACATTTCAAAAATAAATATAATTTGAAAAATCTCCAGTTACACAAGCAAGATTTCGGAATTTTAGCAGAATGGCATTTCCATGCCACTGCTCACGGAAAAGGTCCATGTGATGGAGTAGGTGGAAACTTGAAGAGACTTTCTGCTCGAGCCAGTCTGCAGGCATCTGCAGAAAACCACATCTTAACTCCGATAGATTTATACCGCTGGGCAAAAGAAAATTTGAGTAAAACTGTTGTCTTTTTCAGTCCAAAATGTGATCAAGAAAATGCTACTGAAACGTTAAAAAGCAGGTTCGCAACAGCTGTCACGATACCAGAAACTCAAAAGTATCATGCTATTCTTCCTATTGATGATGAAAGCCTTGCATTTAAAAACTACTCTTTGGCTACAGATTATGAAGTTTACCCCAAAATAAAAACAAATAAAAGAAAGGCAAGCGGGCAAACACCAATGAAGGGGAAAACCAAACGAAATAGTTTGTAATTCATGTGAAAGGCAAACAAGATGATTGGAAAATGAACAAAAGTTTGAAATTATTTTCTTGTACTGAAGGTGTTACAATAGGGCTATAGGCGAAGGTTCACTAACGCGCCGGTAGCGGAACCCCTAGGGTGGTGCGGAAGTCCGTTACTGCGTTCATCATTTTATTTAGGCATAAAATGTCTTATAATTTAAAGGGAGTCATTTCTTAATTTCTAATGTAATACACTTTTCTGTTTAATAAAATTTCTAAGAATACAGTAATCCGATCAAATCTGTCACCTAACGGCTGCTAAAACATTTTATGTTAATCTAATAGGAGCAACGAAATGTTATTTCAAAACAAATTTCAATCAAGGACGTCATAGCAACACTTATTTATTTGTTATACGTTTATATTTTCAAAGATATGAACAGTAGACTTATAAATAAATGTTTTGTAAGTAACAGAAAATGCGATTTAATAAAAAAAAAATGGTAAACGTTGAGAATTGTATGAAACGCCGCGCCGCGACTCTCGGCTGGCGATGGCGATGCGTGCTGCGGAGGCTCGGAGTACGAGTTCAGACACAAAATGCCTTATAACTCGAGAAGGAGTAATTTCTCCAACTTGGAAGTAAGAAACTTTTTTGTTGGAAAAATTGTCTTCTTTTTCATATTTTTTAAATTAAAATCTAAGATGTCTTTCTTTGAGAAAAATCGAATTTTAATGTTAATTTTGCAAAATATCAAAAAATTAATGTTTTTCTTTAAACATTCATAATATATTATCAAAGTACGTAAAAAATGCTTCAAGAATCACTGGTCGTTTTTAAAAATCGGTGCTGTTCACTAGAAATTATAGAAGTGAGAAGTTTGACATAACGTTCTCAACGCCGAAACTTTGAGCCCCTGTAAGTAGACAACGCGTTGCACAAACACCGTAAAAATTGCTGTGAGTTATCATGGTTGATAGAACAATAGATTGTGCAAATTTCAGCCCGATCGGAAAAAGAAATTTTTTTTGGGTGGATCACTTCGCGTGGAATGCCACATATATAGTATAGTAATCAGAGAAATATGTAACACGATGTGAAATCGATTTGTTTTTTTTTGTTTTTATGTTCGAAAGTGTATTGATTGCATGCTATATGTTTTTTTCAAATGAGTAAAATTTTTCAGCTATTAATTTTTGTTACAAAAAATTGATTGAAATATGATAAATAATTCATAATCAAAATATTAAAAAATGTTTTATTTTTGTCCTCATTTCATTTATACAATACATTTTTAATCGAAGGATTACTTCGTATAAACTATATATCTTGATATGAACATTTAAAATTATAATTAACTCCTTTTTTAATAAAAAATTACATATTTAACAGGAATTACAGTATATAAATTTGATGAATTAAACGAACTTAATGAATTAAAACGAAATATTAGCCTTATCAAC